CCAACTCACTAATCAACAACCAAGAAATTGAGTAGATGGTGATGTGAGAATTTCTCTAACAAACAAAGCCATGTGAAATATAATGTTGATTTGGACCCCGTTTCTAATTACTTCCATTAATTGGTGGCATTTATGTATTAGCCATATTATATATTATCATTTGTTAAGATTTTGGAAAATGATAGAGACAATGACATTATTGTTCTATGTTATATATCACTCCCCTTCTTATATTCCAAAGTCTTTTTTCCCTCTTACTTGGAATTAAATTTTACACCAAGTTGATGAACATTGTTTTGAGGCTTAAAGTGCAATTATCGAATACAGATAAATTTTAAAATTCAAAAATACAAAGAAGAAATATAGTTTTTAACAAGTATAAATCTCCAGATACAACGAATGGAGCAAGAACAGGTTTATTATTGTCTTCAACTAGTAACTAAATATTTTAACTTTGTGAATGTATATCTAGTCAACTTGTCCACATTGTATCTCGTGGAAACCTAATGATGATGTGACACATAAATTTTAGAAGTATATTCTAGATGATCACTTTATAAGTTGGAGTGTTCAACATACATTAGAGACGAGTTGAGGTGTCTAGCTATTTAACCTCAAAATTGAAATATATAGTTGCCAACTGAGATCATATTAAGATGTCTATCAATGAATTATAACTAATTTATATGTGTTTTGCATAGACTTCTATCACTTACCCTCATGGTAACTTAATGTGCATTTTATCTTATTAAATGGCTTATTGATAATAAGTTAATATAATTTAATATAAATATCCTTGTGAATAAATATTTACCACTCAAATGCCATCAAAACATAAGAAAATTGACTACTTTTTTAAAAATAAAATAAAATTGGTTGGTGTTGATAAAGCATAAACAATGTGGAAAAAGTCCCATATGATGTTGACCAAATATAAGAAACGGTTGGTGAAAAAGAGTACTATAAATAAAGACAACAAATTAATACAAACAACCAAAAAAACATAAAATTAAAGAGTCCGATTAAGTGGACAAATGCGTACTCACAATAGATATTTATTTCAAATCATATAATTTATTATAATTTTAATATATAAGAATATATATTATTCAATTGATTAAGTGAACACAAAATAACTCGAAAAATTATTAATATCATCCATTTATTGATCTTTTACTAATAAAATTTGCTCTATTAAGTGAAGGTTAGTAACTCGCCACTTCCTTGAACTTCTCATTTTTTTTCCCTTTATAACAAGCTGTTATAGATATATAAATATTATAATATTAAGATTATTAATTTTATTTATTTTAATCAAATATCGTGTTTAGTTAAATAAATTTATATAAATTAAAATGAAAGAGCATTATTTAATAACTAATGAAACCACGAGCTCTTTTATATGAGGAGGGTTCATGATTTTATTTTTCTAACACTTTATTTGAAGAAGAAAAAAAGGTAAATAAATTGAATATAGTGGTAAAAACAAAAATTTTGTTGATAAATTTAAATTTTCAATATATACAGTATATATTATAAATTTCTGACAAAGAATGTTTAACTGATTATTTTTCACGGTATACAGTTATGCCACTGATTGAGGAAAAAAGAACGTTGATGAGAAAGGAACGATGATAAATTAATGATAGATCGAGATGAGTTCAAAATTGCAAGTCAATACGCGTAAAGCATATTGTTGAATCAATAATTATGACTTTATAACAAAATATTTTAGACTTAGGAACAATATTGAATAATATCTATAAATATATAGTTCGAATAAAAAAACGGTTACGATATCACTAATTCCACAAATTTGGCCCTATTTGAATAGACAACAAGTGACCCATAAAATAGGGTATTTTGTTAGGTATATTCACGTGTGATGTTAGGACACAATACTAAATGAAAACACATATTTTGGTAGGGTTTTTATTGAAAATATTGTCGAAAAAAAATCTTAAGTTATCAACGGCTAGAAGGAAGAGGCTCTCGTGTTTTTAAAAAACCATTAATATAGAGTATGAATAAATATTTAAATTTCAATTTGATGGGTTAAGCCTAATGCATGATTTAGATAAACTTAATGTCTCAATACCACTTTTCTTTGAATTATTTGAAGGGCACTTTTACGAATATGAAATTAATGGTCAAAGTGGAAATCAATAATTGTCAACCACTTGTATCAAAAATCGAATTGACTATTGAGTTTGAAGTAAAGCTACTGAGTTTTGTCAAAAAATTGTAGATTAAAGTCTACCTCCCTGTTGGTTGTGCTTACTCATACTCTCGTTATTTGCATAGTATCGTATTTTTCCTTGATCTTCTAAGGTGAATTTAATGTGTTATAGATCTTGTCCTACTTCATGAAAATAGAGAGACTGTTTTCAAAAGATACTTAACTTAAGTAACTCAATCACGAAAAAATGACGGAAGAAAAAATTAAAATATTTCATATCGTGATAATTTATTATAAACCATTTCCCCATAACTTATGTCACTTTTTTTCTGTGGCAACAAATAGCAAAGTAGAATCGAGGGCCATAAAGAACATTTTTCAAACTTAAAGGTGCACCCTGCAAGATTTGCACAAAAAAAATTAACTATGTTATATCAACGGCTAGAAGGAATTAAGAGGCTCTCTTCATTTTCTTTTAACACACGTAAATATCGAATCCGAATAAATACTAAAGTTTCAATTCTATTAGATTGAACTCAAAGATATATAATTTAGGGGAAGCGTTCACTTCGATTTCAAATTGGAATCTTTGTTCACCAAGAAGCGCTAAAATCCTTGTAATGAAAAGTGTAAATTTAAATTAATCGAAACATTGAATTCTCGATACAAAATATTTGAATAAAAAAAGGTAGATATAAGTGAAACAATGACACAAAAGATTGAGAATGTTAGTAGCTTAATTGATTGACTACCTAAACATTTACCTTATTGATGAGAGTTCGTTTCTGAGTACATATAAGTTGATTCGAACATCACCATTATTCGGGGAAAAAAAAAAAGGCATGACTATTGAGGAATCCTGAAAATCTGTAAACCTCTCTTTAATTTTAAAAATTAGTAATTGATTAAAGAAATCCAAGTGAGTTTGAAATTTGAATCCAATTAGCAAAGTGATAGTGGAATTAATTACTTTTCCCTAAATTAATGATGGAGACTTCCAATTTAAGACTGAATTTATACTATTTCCCCTTCATCAAAGGAAGACTTGATTAATTTGGTCATTTTTTTCAACTACACCCAAAATAGACATAGATAAAAAGGCCTAAAAATAAAATTAAGCTGGATTTATAAGAATGAGTGTGAATTTAGTGTAAGGACAAAGTTTTACTTTTATACACAATTCGTTCAATGTTTGACGTAACACACATTTTTAAAAATAATAAGTAGAATGATAATTTTATTAAACCATCTTTGATTATTATAAGTCGTGTTAAATGTTATTTATGATAAATATTTCACAATAAAAATAATATATAGGTATAAAATAATAAATTATATCTTGATTTTTCAAACTACACAAATAAAATTGAATGAGAAGAGAATAAACTGACAACATTAAAAGAATTCCCCCGCTATTTAATCACTCAAGAGTATAATGTCCAATAGTTATTCATAATATGTGAAATTCAAAATTTGAAAAAATCACTCTCTCTTATCCAAATTATATGAACTTAGATCAATTTTTTTTGGTCATATTGATATGAAAAGAATTGTAGTATTCAATACTTTTCGTATAGTTTTATAATATCTAATTTGTTATTTTTATGATTAAACTAACTCAATTCAATTTTAATAATTCATTACATTGACTTTTATAATAAGAAAAATAAATAAATATTTATTTTGAGGTGAAGAAAATATTATTTTAAAAAAATTAATTTTGGTGGATCAAAAAGGTCCAAGTGTTGACATCATACACGTTTCCAACAACTGTAAAGTATAGTAGCAATTTGAATCAAATTACCTCAATTCCAGCATATGAGTCCGGAAGAATCTTGACCCTTGAAATATGTAAGGTCAAGATTTTTGCTTTTACTTTTTTTACCAATTGGTATCAATAAAGTTATTATTTTATTTTTTTCATAATCATGATGCTTGAATTAGTTTATCACACATCTTAACTATTTTGTTAGAATAAATATTACGTACATCTCAATGTCATAGGTAAATCACCTAGAGTTTTTTTTCCGTCTATATTGATCTTTGGACCCTGGTTGCTAAGATTTTCTTTTTTATAAGCAAGAAGTTTCTCGCGCATCTTGAAACTCGATTAGTAATATGTTTGTCTTTCTAACCTTAACCACTTAAATACAAGATTGTTGAATGCAACAAGGTCTAAACATTGAGTTTGTGACGTGCTTGTCCCTCTTACTTTCTCCACTTGAATACAAGACTTTTATATGTCTGCGTTTCTAACATAATATGTTTGTCTTTCTAACCTTAACCACTTAAATACAAGATTGTTGAATGCAACAAGGTCTAAACATTGAGTTTGTGACGTGCTTGTCCCTCTTACTTTCTTCACTTGAATACAAGACTTTTATATGTCTGCATTTCTTACATGCTCGTTCTTCTTACCTTCTCCACTTAAATTCTGCAACAAGGTTTAAATCCCTAAGTTTTTAACATACTCATCCCTCTTACCTTCTCCGCTTAAATACAAGATTTTTATCTACAACAAAGTCTAAACCTGCGAGTCCTTCTTACCTTCCCCACTTATATACCAGACTAACAACAAGGTCTAAACCCCTAGTTCATGACGGGGGCCAAACCCTAAACCTTGAGATTTTCACCTATTTCATTGTCTATCCTTTATTTTCAAAATTTTCACCCGCTTCATTAACTGCTAAGTCGCACATTTATTACAACAATGAAGTTGTTGTTTTTAAACCAAAAGATAAGAAGGACCACCATCCAAGTGCAACAATTAACAACTAGAGGTGGTATAAATTTGTAATCAATGAACAAACCACATGTACTTTCCACCTTTAGCATTGATAATAGACCAACTACCCAAAAACTTTACTTGAAATAAATGCAATTTGTACATATTCAACACTATGAAAACAAAACTAGATTTGGAACTTTGCAAGATCAAGAAGATATACATACACTACTACTATAAGAGAAGAAACACAAAGGAATAATCTGAATTCTGAGAATCAATACAAGTAAAACATAAAATGCTCATCATTATACTATAGTTTGAAAAAAAAAAAACCCAAAAAAATAAAAATACAAAGAAAACAAAGTATGATGAAGCTAAAATCTAACAATAAAAACTCACAAAATAGAAAAACCAGATGCAGCAAGCACTGTAAACTGGATTTAAGCCCAGATTATGATCTCTATACATACAATTTCCTGCAAAGTTTCTATCTTTTCTTTGCCAATTTATTCTCTCCACAACTTCAATCTATTTGATAACAATTAAAAAATAAAATCTTCGGAGATTGAATCTTTCTCTCCTCTTTACCTCCTCTTTTTTCTTTCTTTCTGTCACGCCATTTTAACTTTGTGATCACGTATTAGCTCGATTTTGTTGATGGCTTGAAGAGTTCGAGGAAATAATAATTGTAGGGATAATTTTGTGCTTTGAGGATAAGTTAGTGGAAATTTCTGAAAGAATTAATAAAAGGGTGGTGGAGGTGGTGAAGCATATTGAACTCCTATTATTGGTGGCAATGGCCCTTCATATACTGGAGTAGGTGGTGGTGATGGTGGGGGTGGAGAATTGTAATAATAAACTGGTGGTGGAGGAGATGGAGATGGTGGGGGCGGAGAATTGTAATGATAAACTGGTGGTGGAGGAGATGGAGATGGTGGGGGCGGAGAATTGTAATGATAAACTGGTGGTGGAGGAGATGGAGATGGTGGGGGCGGAGAATTGTAATAATAAACTGGTGGTGGAGGAGATGAAGATGGTGGGGGCGGAGAATTGTAATGATAAACTGGTGGTGGAGGAGGAGATGGTGAAGGGGAGGGGGGTGGGGGTGGTTCAATGCAAGGAGGAGGTGGTGGAGGGGGTTCTATACAAGGCAATGGGGAAGGAGGTGGAGGAGGTGAAGAATATACGTATGTTGGTGGTGGAGGAGGAGGTGAATTTGGTGGCGGAGGTGATGAGTATATGTATACTGGTGGAGGAGGAGGCGAATTTGGTGGTGGAGGCGGCGAATTTGGGGGCGGAGGTGGTGGTGAATTGTAATAGTAAGGTGAAGGGGGTGGAGGCGAGTGAGCAAGCGGTGGAGGTGGAGAATTAGGAGGTGGGGAATTTGGTGGTGGAGGTGGAGGTGGAGGTGAGCGTACACAATAAGGCAATGGTGATGGAGGAGGTGGAGATGGTGGTGGCGAATAAACGGGTGGGGGAGGAGGTGGAGGTGATGGTGGAGGGGGAGATGGTGGCGGTGGTGGTGGTGAATAAATTGGTGGTGGGGGTGATGGTGGAGGTGGAGATGGCGGGGGTGGAGGTGGAGGTGATGGTGGAGGAGGAGATGGAGGTGGGGGTGGAGGTGAATAGACTGGTGGTGGAGGCGGAGGAGGTGATGGAGGAGGTGGAGAGGGTGGTGGTGGCGGTGGTGAATAAACTGGAGGTGGAGGAGGAGTATAAACTGGTGGCGGAGGCGAATAAACAGGTGGTGGAGGGGCAGGCAAGGGGGGTGAAAGTGGCGGAGGAGGTGGCAAAACAGGAACAAATTTATGACACCTGAAAGCACTGCAATGAATTTTTTTAGACAAAAAGGCCTTACACTGTCCCTGAGAGCGTTGCACCGGTCTGTTGGGCAAACAATTCCGTTCATCATGAAACTCCGGCAACCCCAAACACACCGGCGGTTCACCAGTGAAGAAATTATAAGAATACGTAAAATTCTCAAGCTTAGGAAGCTGACAAATACTTTTCGGAATTGTTCCAGAAAGCATATTATGTGCCACATTCAATTGCTCCAAATTCACCAAATCACCAAAATTCTCCGGCAACGGACCCATCAACTGATTAAAGCTCACATCAAATACAGTCAGATTTTTCAACAACCCAATCTCCGCCGGCAAACAAGAACGCAACCCATTGTTCATTAAAATCGCCTCATTAAGATTACTCATATTCCCAATACTCGCCGGAAGACACCCATGGAAACTGTTACTCGCCAGAACTATCACAGAAACCGGCGAATTCCCAAAATTATCCGGTAACTCAAACGCAAACCGATTATGATTAATAAAAATGGCGTCTAATGGCTTATCAAAAAGCTGTGAAGGTACATTACCTTCAAATTCATTGAACCTAATATCCAAAAATATCAACTTGGGTAAACTCAAAACAACATAAGGAAACTTCCCAGCAAACCTGTTATTACTCAGATCCAGCTCGAACAGTATCTTCAACTTGCTGAACTTTCTCGGTATTGTACCACAGAAACGGTTTGAATTGATATGGAAAATCCCAAGATCTGTAAGAAGCCCAAGTTCTTCCGGGAGGTACCCTGCAATGTCACCATGGTTAAGGTCAATGCCGGCAACTGTACGGATTTTGGGGTTATCCAACGCCGGAGCACAGAAGATTCCAGTGTAGCTGCATACATTAGGACCAACCCAATTCAGAGTGATATTAAAGGGATCTGAAATGATAGCTTGTTTCCATGCTTGTAAAGCAATATAAGCATTCTTGATTCTATCATTCTCAAACACCATAGATGGATCAATTTTCACATTTTCACCTCTATCACCAAACTCATCTCTGTAATACAAAAGCTGCCTGTGTTTGATGAACTGAGCTTCAGAATCAGTTAAAGGGCCATTTTCAGAAACAGTAAACTCAGCATTTGTGTGTTCAGCAAAGACTGAACACAACAAACAGAGCACAAGAAAAAACAGAGAACAAATGGGTGTTTGTGTTTTCTCCTTCATCTCACATGAGTCATCTGAAAATCAAGAATGCTTGTTTTTTTTATGCTTTTTTTGGTTCAAAGATTGAATCTTTAACCAAATGTGAGATGAAAAAAGTGGAGAAAAAAAGGGATACTGGAAATGGGGTTGGTTCTTTGAGATCTGAGAAGGAGAGAGATAAAGGGGAAGAAGAAGTTGAATTTATTTTAGGGATTTTTGGTGCGTGTGTGTGAATGAATATAGAGAAGAGAGAAAGAGAAACATGAAATTTCCAACTTAAAAAAGGACAGCTAAGTCACAGCTCAAAGCCCACTATTCTCTCACTTTCTTTGTAATAGGTCTTAGCTAGCTGGCTAAACTTCTTTATGTTTCTCCCTCTAATTTGGTTCTTTATTCTTCTAGTAATAACCATTAAGAACCACATGTCTAGATACAACAATTTAGAGGTCGAGGATTAAGGTAAAAGATAAGAAGGTTAAGTATGATCTAATTCATTATAGTAAGATTTAGAGATTGAGTATTAAGGTAGAAGGTTAAGTGTTGTCTAGTTCATTTACAGTCTAGATAGAAAGATTTGGATGTCGAGGATTAAGGTAGAAAGTACGAAGGTGAAGCGTTGTCTAGTTTAGTTCCAGTCTAGATAGAAAGGCTTAGAGGTCGAGGATTAAGGTAAAAAGTAAGAAGGTTAAGCATGGTCTAGTAATAACCATTAAGAACCACATGTCTAGATAGAACAATTTAGAGGTCGAGGATTAACGTAGAAGGTAAGAAGGTTAAGCATGGTCTAGTTCATTTCGAGGTTAGATAGAAAGATTTGGAGGTTGAGTATTAAGGTAGAAGGTAAGAAGGTTAAGCATGGTCTAGTTCATTTCCAGTCTAGATGGAAAAATTTGGAGGTCGAAGATTGAGGTAGAAAGTAAGAAGGTTAAGCGTTGTCTAGTTTAGTTTATGTCTAGATAGAAATATTTAAAGGTCGAGAATTGAGGTAGAAAGCTAAAAGATTAAGCGTTGTTTAATTCCCTTTTTAGTATTGTTATGATTACTTAGCTTTCTTAAGTTAATAGGTAAGTGTTTCTAGTTAACTGTTCAATATTGTTTGTTATCATTAATTTGTTACTATCTTATTTTAGATTTTAGTGCTTATTACTTGTTGTTTTTGTTGCTTCGGTTATTATTTTGTTTGGCTATTGCTACAAATGCTCTTCTTCGTTGTTTGCAACATGACTTTTTTGTGAATTTATTTGTTTTACATGCTTTTTTTTGTTGATATATTTTATTTGATTCGAGGATTTATCAGAAACAATCTCTCTGCCTTTATAATACACGAATAAGATTGTGTACATCCAAATTTCACTTGTGAGATTACATTGATATATTATTATAAATTAATTTTTTTTTTAAAACTTTTAAGATATGTATGATATTCACTAGTTCGTACTATATGTTCCTTGTACATTATCATTACTCATAGGAAGAGAAGGAGACAAGTTTAACCTTTTGGTCTTCAATATTGAATATGAAAAAGAAATGTATTTTTTTGTGTTAATCTTAAATTTGTGTATCCTTACATTAAAATCAAGAGTCATCTAGTGTTTTGTATCTAGATTGGCGTCTGATTGGGTTCACGCTATGTAGGGTCCTATTCGAAAGGAAGCGTTTCCTTCTAAGAATTTTTGTATATCCAAAGTTCAAATCCAAAATTGCTGATTAAGTATCGATTACTCGTTTCTTGTATAAATTTTTTCACCTCTCCACTCAGTGTCCCTTTTTGACTTTGAGATAATTCCTCTTCCGCCATCTACGCCACAAGTGCCTTTGGTTTCTTTTTCTCATTAATGAGAAATAAAGGAAGGAACCTTCTCTCATGGAAAAACTACTTATTGTGAGTAACAACTCACTCTCAAAAAACACTCACACGTAAGAGTGTTAAATGAACGGGTCAAATTAGATATAGATTAATTAAAAATTAGTTAAATTAAAATGAATAACATATTTGATTCGTCTATATATATTTCATCATACTAATAGAATTGGATTAATTAACGAATAATATGAATATCTATTATGTATAGTCAGATGAGAACACAAGCTAAAAATCAAAATTGAAAATATTGTTCATGAAATTTGATTAGTTTCTCAAAATTTCTCTTCAAAGAAATTCGAGTTCCAAAACGGACTCATACTAGTTTCTGAGTGTAATTTTACTTTCACTCACAAAACTTTTAAAAAAAACTGTAAGTAAAATTCATGTCCAAACACAACTTCAAGTTTCAAAAAGTATTTTCAACACATCTTCAAAAATTCATTCATTTCGAACTTCAACTAAATCTATGATTGAACCGTAGCAAAATATATGGTACACAAATTTTGATCCTTCCTTCCAACTTTGTGGTATTTATTTTTATTTCCCTATTGTATAGTTTCCAAATTACCAAACAAACCTAGTCATATCATCATTTAATTTTCATTCATATTTTGGTATCACTATCAACTATTTCCTACTTCTTGTAAATTTTTGGTGAGATTGCACAGCAGATCATAGTACTCTATGGTAGGTACACTTTTAACTTGTGCCTTTGATACATTTTCTGGTTGTAGAAAAAAAAACATTCAATTATCACTTGCAAGTATCATTGCTCGAGGCCATTTATTGAGTTGAAGTACTCACCATCACAGGGTCGGGTTATGGCGGAACAGATAAGATCTCTTTGCTCTTAATTAGAAGCTTCAAATTTTCAAGCTCCGGAAATGAAAAGAATCTTAATAGGGAGTCTTTTTTCTTTTAATGAGTCTTAACTCTTACTCGATACGAATTTGAATTTATTAAGATTTCTCAGGGTTTAAAAAAGTAAAAAGAGATCATAAGAATTAGTATATTTGCTTCTTTAAGAGATCATACTTTTATTTAATTAATTATATCTAATATACATCTTTCATGCATTTTTAAAAAAAGAATTATGGCCAAAACATAAATTTTCTATTATCTTCGATCAGTGGCGGAGCCAGAAATTTTAATAAAGGGATTTAAAATCTGAGAAGTAAACACACGAACTAGTGAAAGGAAGTTCGACATCTATTATACATATTTAAAAAATAATTTTAACCATGTATAAATAGTAATATTTTTCGCCAAAGGGTACAGATAAACCCCCTCATCATATGTTGCCTCCGCCGCTGTCTTCGATGGTAATGATGAGGTCCGATATTCATATATTTGTTTGTTCTGATGTCATATTAAAATTGTGGTCATTTCATAGAAAAATACATTTTGATCTGATTAAATGTGTCTTATGAACTTATTATAATTATACGTTCAAGTGAATGATTATTCAATATATAATAAGTGATAACACTTTTTTTTTATAACAAGAAAATTCGCAATCGCTATTTTTAAAATACGCATAACCCTCAAACCATGCAGAAAAAGATAAAATGGATGTACAAAATAAGCTTCATACGATGAACTCAATTAAGAAAACATTCGATTAACAAGAAAATTCGAAAATAAGCTTCATACGATGAACTCAATTAAGAAAACACCCGATTAACAAGAAAATTCGAATTAAAAAAAAAAATACACGGCTCCATCAACTCAGCCACCAATAATTCTATAATAATTAACATCACAAAGCTTCCTTATATCACATTAAAGTAATTAAATTTAATCCATAACATTATATTACTATTATAATCATATAATACAGTAACTTTTTAGATTTTTTCCCTCTCAATTTAGTGGTTTGCATGTGACTACCTATAGTTTTAGCTTTTATCTTATTAGTACTAAAATAATTGTCAAGTGCTCTTTCAAATCATATATTCCTTTGACAAGTTCTCTATGCCCCCCATGAGATATCTTAGGTAGCTTGATATTTATCTTTGGGTCCATTGTCCACAGTATAAATCATAAATATAAGACGAGTTGAGTTTAATTTGAACAATTTAAAATAGATTAAATTTTATCAAAGTTTAATATGAAAAATATATATGAATTGTGTCGAAATAGATTAAATAATAAATTATATTCCAATTCGTTCAGCAAATTCAATTTCTCACTCTTTACAATTTGCATTTTTAAAGAAAAATGTAAAATCCAATTTATTTTTTCTTAAAATTATTAAGTTCTTTGAAATGAGCTTGTATTAAGTTCTATGAAATTTCCTATTACAAATTTAGTTTTGTATGTTAGAATTTAGGTTGCATTATTTGACCCAATTTTACTCAATAATTCATAGGTCATTTCTAGTTTGATTCCTTGAGTCAATTACACAAATCAATCATAATTTAATCCGTTTAAATTTGAGCAATTTTTTAATTTTCCATTCAACGTTAGATATTCGAATTGAATCTTATTAATTCTTGAATTGTATATTATAGGATCCATTTCTGGAGACGGTATTACTCTTAACATATTTCTTTTTCATTCTTAGGAGCTCAAATTCGATCAAGAACTCTGATTAAGAGTGACAAAATTATATTCATCGAGAGATTTGAACAAAGTTACTACAAAATGAATTTACTTTGCCACCTATTGTTCAAAAAAGCAGTTCTTTGGTGTGTTACAGCCTAGAGGAAGAACCAACTACTTCTCCACTGTGTTAGAAAATATTATCATATATATTTGCTTAAATTGTTTAATCTTGTAGTCAAAATTCTATGAACAAATAATTTGAAAGTAGTTCATAAATTATTATTATTATTATTATTTCCTTAGTTTAACATAGTGTAATTTATTATAAGAGAATGTTCCAAGCTTCCAATCATACCCAATCATTTGATTCCTTCTAAGGTATCAAACATAATTTTTCAAATTTTTGTTGCTAAACTTAGCTGGCTATATACTTTTCTTTCATCTTTTTGGCTGTTTTTAGTAGTTACATTTAGTATTCTTTTCTTGATTCTTTATTTTTTTTAAAAATGAAAATATACAATATTATAACTATATCCAAATATTTGTTGATAAGAGCGCAACATGTGATAGATATATTAGCACACATTGTAGGTTCGAATCTTATCTGTCACAAACAAATGTCTGGTACTTAAGTGGAGAATGACGAACAAATAGATTTATTATTCACCAATTTTCAAATCGTGTATAATTGGTCCTCGGTGTTTCTTGATTATAATTTTTCTACTTTTTGGTTGTTCTTAGTACTTTCTTCTTGTGTTGTTTTCTTGATTCTTTTAATTCTTGTGTAAA